TTTTCTGGCTTACATTGTTTCTGATCAGAAGTCTTCTCTCATCCTTAGTCTTGTGTGCAATCTGCTTTTCTCCCCTGTCTGCTTTTAAGACTTTCTATTTATTGCTGCTTTAAATAATTTGATTGTGAAATAAGTTAGGGTAGTTTGTTTTATATTGTTGTGGATTTTAGGGTATTTAGTTTTCATCAAATTTGAAAAAAATTTCAGCCATTATTTCTTCCAGTATTTACTCTCTTTCCCATCCTCCCTTTTCCATCATAAACCCCAATTACCAACCATATTGGTCCACTTAAAGTTGTATCACAACTTCTGATCTGATGTTGATCATCTGAACTGATGATCTGTTCATTACTTTTTAGTCTTTTATCCCTCTCATTATTTTAGTCTTTTTTTTTTATTTTGGCATATTATGGGGGTACAGATTTTAAAGCTTCAATAAATGCCCATTTTCCCCTCCCCCACAAGTCTGAGTCTCCAGCATGACCATCCCCCAGATGGTGCACATCTCACTCATTATATATGTAGATACCCGTCCCCCTCCCCCCAGCCCAATACCCCATCACTGCAGCACCCATGTGACCAACTCCCGCAGCTACTCCTTGGCCTCTTGCCAGCAGGCCCGACCAACAAGCCACCAGGCCTCCCTGACTGTGATTTTCGGCGGGGGAGTTCCCTACAAGGAACGCTACCCTGGGCTGGTGGCTCGGCCTCCTCCTGGGGAGGTTGCCCTCTAGGATGCTGATCCCCCCCTGGAGGTACACACACCTCAGTAGGCTGTTCACTATAACCTTTCTGTGCCCCGGAAATGCTAGCCCTCGTGTCAGGCGGATCTTGGTCTGCAGGTCAACCTCTGGGTCCCAGAGGTCAAAATGTATCCCACCAGGGGAAGACTTTCTGTCCCAATTCACCCACAGGGAGCCCAAGCCTGGTCTATGTCTCTCAGTCTCTGAGTCGGCACCATTCTCTTGGAACACTGTGCCAGCAAAACAACCTGGGGAAGAGGCTGGCGGGTCGGGGAGCTCACAGTCTGCAGTTCCCTGAGTCAGCTTGGTAGGCGTTCCCAAAAGGGAAAGCGGTCGGTTCCCTGGAGGTGCCTTCTGGGCTTGGTGGCTGTATTGTTCTCTCTGGCTGCCGCGGGGTTACAGGTAGGCGGAGGGGGGAGGAAGTAATTTATGGGTGCCTTCGCTGCGAGCTTGGCTCTGTGCACAGGAGGTCTGGAGGAAGTTGGAAACCGGTGCACGTCTGCCTACAGGCTCACGCTGGTGGGCGGCAGCCGGTCTCTCTGGGCTGGCGTCCGCAGGTTCTTTCTATTTTTCTTGCTGGGAGCCCAGCCTGT